TCCTTTTTGATACACTTTAGCAAATAGGTCCCACATTAATCAAGATATTTTGTGACACCTCTTTTTCTTTATTGTACCTGAACAACCTTGGCAAGACCATTTTAACAGGTCCCTATTTGGGGTAGCTTGCTAATGAATGATAATATTAATGTTAGCCTCTCTCTATGCTGTGCCACTGTCATATATTCTTGCAAACTAATGATGATAACCTTTCTCTGTCCTCTGGCACCATCTTAATTTCTTGGTTAGATGTAATGTTAACCTGCTTTCATGCTGGGGCAAGCATATTGAACTGAAATAATTTCAGCCTTTCTGTATTATCAGACACTGTCTTATTTTCTTTATTTAAAATAACGTTAACTGGTATATGGTCTAGCACTTATATATTTTATAGAAACATTGCAAATCACTTCATGCTCTGGCACTGTCTCGCCTTCTTGCTTAGAAATATGAATAACGTCTTTATTGCTCTGGACTGTCTTATTACCTTGAAAATTAAATAATCATGTCTGCATGCTTTTCATAAAAAAAAGTTGCACTTCATCCATTTAAAACCCATCTGAGCTTGCTTTGAAAGACAGCCCTTTTATTGTATGCTCGCCCTCCAACCATTGTCTTCAAATCTTAAAGTTACATTTATACATCGTTCTCAACTATCATGTTACCCTCCTACAAACTAACTGCCCCATTATTAAAAGAATTTTAACTTTCAGCCTAATGCATTTATTCTGAAGTGAGATCTTTCCCATAATGGTCGTAATGTTGCCAAACATCATGTAAGCAGTCTAAACATTGTGTCACTTTTATGACTGGATCACATTTACCCTTCTCCTACCACTCTTTTCAAGACATCAGTCTGTTTCTTGTCTTAAATACTTTCCTTTTCCTTTATAGTTTGTTTAATTCTCTTCTGATTGTTTTCCATTCTTAATGGACTAAAGTTTATGGATTTCACCTAAACTCTATGATTACATTTTGTCTGTACTGTAAATGTAACTCTGGAAAATAACAGAAAATAGTCTGTGGGAAATTGAATGAGAATACATTACATATCTTCATGTGCACTAGTTTTGAACCTTAACTGTATCATGATTCATTACTACCATTTATTTGTAACAGTTCTGAATCAGGGTACATCAAGTACAATTGCTTGCACTTTTTTATGAATTGTTTTGCTTTAACCAGCGTATTCAGTACTGCATACATTCATTTGTGCCCTTGCTGAATAATTTTGGGAGCATTACAAATATTCTTATGAATACATATTTTGCACATGTATTTCTAAGGGTTGATATAATCTTTATAGATGATAATGGTACTGAAGAATATCTGCTCTAATTAGAATACGATAAATCAGCGATCTGTTAACTATTTACGTAGCTGGTTTGCAATACAATAATATCCAGTAATCTTTCAATAATTTATGGTAATAATGCTACAGACTAAGTATTTGTACTTTCATAGAATTATTTTTAAATATCAGCAGTGTTAGTCTACTTTGAGTACTAGACCACAGAGAAGACCAAAATTCTTCTGTTAAGCTATATATTGTATTTAATCATAAAAATGTTCATATGATATTTTGGTGTTCAGACCTGCATACAGGAGGACTTTTAGTCTCGTTGCTTGCCAAATTTATGGATCTCTTAAATTCATGGATCTCTCAAATTCAGTTTTTAGGTTCCATGCCCAGGTAATAAAATGCAAGCATTTGGGCATTTGCAATGGAATGATACATTTTCTGCACAGCTAAAGGAATGTACAGTGAAATTTTCCCAAACCAAACTGCCTTCATATGTTAATATTATAAAAAGTATAAAATAAAAAAAATTACTTAACTGTTATGGATGTTACCGTGCCATAAGTTTTATATTTTCTTACTGAAATATTGGATAATGAATTCTGTCATTGCTTTAAAATTAGCAAATGTATGTGCCATTTTGTTAGCCACTGAGGATCATATAGTGTGATTGGATATATTGTATAATTGCCTGTTTTGTCAAATGTACTTTATCATTTTGCTAAATAGTGGTAAATCTGGAGTTTTATTTATTGAAGAAACTTTTTTTTTTTTTTTGCTCATCTGATAACTACAATCCTCGCCCATTTTCTTAATTAAATCACAGTTATTATATTTATATTATTATTATTATTATTATCATCATCAGTAATGTTGCCATTTTAAACATTCTGTTCATCCTTTGATGGTTTAATATGTTTCTATTAAATTGTAAGAATATATTAAAGTGTTTTATTTTAATGTTTTTAAAGTGTAAGCCTGTCAGAGATATCTAGTTATGTTACTTGCTGTTGACAAGTATTGATGACCAGCGTCAGGTAAAAGAACCTGTGCTGGCTGAGGCAGGAGGCCACAATTCGATTTTTGCATTATTTCTCACATCTGGCAGATCAAATGATTCCTTACCAATCTCCTGTGAAGGAAAAATTCTGTTACAGAGAAAAATTACTGTTCACGACATTTATGTACTTATAATGCATTTTGGCCAAAATTTCAAAATTAAAGTTATTGCCTTTTCAGCCTCAAATGTGACATTTCTTTACAACCTATCCTACAGTTGAAGATATGTTGTTTTAGAGTAATGAAAGGAAGGGATTTTGCTGAACATTTTCATGGTTAAGCATATCAGTTTACATACAAAGTCAGCATTTGACCGACATCAAATGAATATTTCTGGATTCTTTTACCATAGCAAAGCATTTCTTTATTGAAAAAAAATATTCTTAGCAAATTATAAATATTACGATGCTTGAGAGAAAAAAAAAGTTTCAATGTTATTTTAAATGTGCACATTTTTACAGAATTTATTTATTTATTTTTTTTAAAGAAACTATTTAGCCCAATTGAATGTAACTTAAAGGTTTTGTCATTTAAATGACAGTACTCAACGTAAAGGAAAGTCAGCCAGATTGCATTAATAAAAAAAAAAAAAAAAAAAAAAGACGTTCTGTCTCCTTAAACAGCTATCCTCATGAGTTTTAGTGAATTCGAGGATGTTGGTTTAAGTAACTTTCCAGAGATAAGGTTGATTTTCCCTTACTTGGACGTGGCCCATTTGTTTTGCATAATAAGAGCATAGTAGGTGTGATAGGACTCCATCCCTATATACAGTATTATGGTCAAGAATATATTTTTGAATTAATAAATCAATGCCTGAAGCATTTTTTTTTTTTTTAGTTGATTTCAATATATTGATTATTTTTTTATATATATTTGCCAGATAATAAACATGTTAGTTTTGTATTTTTGATCGTTTTTGCATGTTAGTGTTAAAAATGATAAAGTAAAATTTAGATTGAGCAGTAGTAAGAATTGTCTGCCACATGATTTTGACTGTTTTAAAGGAAATTTGAGCTTTCCACAAACAACCAATCAAGAGAAATGTTGATGGCTACATTGCTATATTTTGATAATAAAGAGTTGAGACAAAACTCCAAAGTGGTAGACGTGACTCAACAAAAGAATATGATTTAGAATAAGTAATATTTATGAAATATAACAACAGACCTTGCCTCAATCTGCATGTTATTGCTGTCTTAGCATTACTCCTTATGTGATTCTCAATTTTATTTACCCTCTCCGTGTGAATCTTGAGTGTAAGTCTTTCCCTTTCCACCACTGTTGAATTATATATTTTGTTCCTTAACACTATGCAATTGTTATGTTCATTTTCCTGTGTTATGAACATATTGTTCATTTCCTGTCTTGTGTTACTGTGAGTATTCTATTTCCATTCTCTTATTTACACAGAATCCTAGTTTAAAATTTTTTGTAAGCTTTTATATATATGTATTATTCAGTCGAATATTGATTTTTGCCAATATAAGCATAAGCCCTACTGTTAATATTTTAAAGGCATGATATTTAACTTTAATTTGTCTTAGTTTTGTTTGTTTCTTTAATTGAGAAATCAAGATAACTCATTTTAGGTAGCCAGACTCCTATCTCTAATGTTCCAAGAAATTTGTTATTTTGTGGCAAGAATTTTCATTATTTTTTTATCTCTGACCTTTTATGATCACTTAATTACTCATGTAATGAAATTCTTAGAGTCGTTTTTAATACTGTATTAGTGTTTATGACTAGACCAACCACTACCAGCCTCTGTTCTAGTTTTTTGTACAGTATGGCCTCTTGCTAAACCGATTTGCAATTTCTTATGCTCCTTTTCCCTTTACTTATTGGAGGATTGCAAGTATACATGATGCTGTTTTTATTTTCTGCTATATATATATATATATATATATATATATATATATATATATATATATATATATATATATATATATATATATATATATATATATATATATATATATATATATATATATATATATATATATATATATATATATATATATATATATATATATATATATATATATATATATATATATATATATATATAATGAGTAAGCACAAATTGTTAGCATACTGCACTAAATGGTAAGGAAGCCCATCAGTGAAACAACACATAGAAAAAATGTAGCATTGTTTTTTCTATGTGTTGTTTCACTAATGGGCTTCCTTACCATATATATATATATATATATATATATATATATATATATATATATATATATATATATATATATATATATATATATATATATATATATATATATATATATATATATATATATATATATATATATATATATATATATATATATATATATATATATATATATATATATATAATTTTTACCCTAACTGGAAGTTGAACCTAGGACATCTAATTATTGTGCCAAGGCGCTACCAACTACACCACAGTAGGTCTTAAAAGGGAAACAAACCTTTAAACTATATCTGCTATACTAGGAATGAATGCATTCTATCTGAATGCTTCTCTGTTCATATTACAATTTTCCCCAACCTCATTCATGGCTTGGCTTTCACATTTAATTCAAGTCTCAGACTCATTTGGGACCAACAATAATCAAATATGCACATTTTCATATGTGAAAACATGGATAATTTTTACCCCTACCAGGACTTGAACCTAGGACACATAATTACTGTGTCAAGGCTCTACCAACTGCACCATAGAAGGTCTTAAAAGGGAAACAAACCTTACAGCTATATCTGCTATACTAGGAATCAACACATTCTATCTGAATGCTACTCTGTTCATATTACAGTTTCCCCCAACCTCAATTCGAATTTTCCTTCAGGTTTGACTTTTGTTTTTCTTTTTCTTTTTATACTTAAATTACCATGGTCAAGTTTTTAAGTTAAGATGTGTGTTACCAGAAAAGAGACAAACTGAGTCACTAAATAGCACTTATATGGAGATATAAAAATTCTGTGTGAAGCTCAATTAAAAGTTTTTCTCTTTTCTTTTTTTTCCTCTTTCTCGTCTTCTTTCTATATTCTGTGAGAGGGAGAACATAAAAATGAGGCCATCTCTGTCCCAAACCTCTCCCACCCATGGGTCGGGAGAAGGGGTAGTCATCAGGGGACTTAAACTGAGAATCAAGAAGTTAGAGGAAATGGTTATAAGCCTTGATGATAAAATTCGGAATATGGATGGAGAAATGAAAGAGAATGAAACACTCAGAGAACAAATAAGATCTTTGGAGGAAGCAAATAAAGCACAAGGGCAGGAGAGAAAGGAACTAGAAAAAAGAATAAAGAAGCTGGAAGGGGAAAAGAGTCAACTAGAATCTAGAATTTCTAAACAAGAAGATAAAAACAAACAGCTGAATGACAACCTAAAGGAATTAGATGTTAGTTCACTGCTCTCTTCTGAGAGAGACGAGATTGCTGCTTGGAATGTCCAGATTAAGGAAAACATTGAACAGTTCAGAAAAGAGTTCCAGGAGCTGAATATGGAAAATGATGCCATGAAAACGTCCTTTGCTGATGCACTAAAGGGGAATGTGGCAGTAAAAGAGGCTGTAAAGGTGGTGGCACTGGAAAACATACAAACAGTTGACTATAAAGAGACAGTAATCGAAAAAATGAAAGACGTTGTGATGGAAAGGGCAAACCCACTCATCAGACGGCACTTGATAAGGAGAAGACAGTGGTAATCTCAGGCATAAGTGAATCCCAGGAGCCAACATGGCAGGGGAGACTTGAAGAAAATAAAGCTAGGGTTGTAGACCTGATAAGAAAGCTTGGAGTAGTATGTGGTCCTGAGGATATTGTAAACATACACCAACTAGGTAAATATTCGAGGGAAGGAAAGCCGAGACCAACAAAAGTAACCTTTGAGAGAGGGGAAACATGTAGGGAAATATTGTTGAGAAAAAAAAGTCTAAAAGACCTTCAAGAATGCAAAGAAGTGTTCATTAGATGATACAGAACACAGGAAGAGATGGGAAAGATCAAAAACTTGTTGCAAGAGGCAAGAAGGTTAAATGATGAAAGAAATGAAGAAGAGAAGAAAAATTTTCGTTACAGAATACTTCCAGACAAAGGGGAGATAAAGAAGATAATGACAGAAGATCAGGGGATGGGGCCTCATTAAGATTGTTATACACAAATGCTGATGGATTAGCTGGTAAGGCAGTAGAATTAAAAGATAGGATTCTCAACAGTAAGGCAGATATAGTAGCAATTACAGAGACTAAGTTGAGTGAGGACATAAACAGTGTCACAGTTTTTCCAAAGGGCTTCAGAATACTAAGGTTTGAAAGATCTGAGAGGACTGGTGGAGGGATAGCACTGCTCATAAGTGAGAGGATTCAAGTTGAAGAAATAAACTTGGCTATAGAAAGTGAGTTCAGGGAATTTCTTGTTGCTCGCATAAATACTGGGTCAGAGAGCATTATAATAACTGTTGTATACAACCCACCAAGGAACCAAAATAGGCTTGAAATTTATGAGGAAAGTCATATAGGTACTATTGAAGCCACAAACTCAGTTGTTAACATGGCACGGGAGAAAAAATGTAGGATTTTGATTATGGGAGACTTTAATCATAAAGAGATAGATTGGATAAATCTTGACCCACACAGTGGTGAGGACTCATTCGGGGCAAGATTCCTAGATTGCGTACAAGGGAATTTCCTACACCAACATGTAATGGAACCAACAAGAGCCAGGGGTGGGGATGAGCCATCACTACTTGATCTAGTGTTCACAGATAATGTGTTGGATATTGAAAATATTGAGTATGAACCACCAATTGGAAAGAGTGACCACTGTGTGTTGTTGATGGAGTATATCATTGAAGATATTCTTCCTGAGAGTAGAGGCACTGAGGACATGAGGAGAAACTATCCGAAAGGAGATTACATCAAAATGAATGAGCTTTTTGCAGTTATTGACTGGAGAACCTTGTTTTACAACAAATCTGTACAAGAAATGTATGACATCTTTTGTGAGAAATATGGGAAGATAGTAGATTGCTGCATACCTGACACCAAAGTAGGTGTAATTCATGCCAGAGAGAAATGGTTCGATAATGGGTGTAAAAGAGCTAAGGAGTGGAGAGACAAATGCTGGAAAAGGTATAGGAGGAGAAAAAACATAAATGCCTGGCAAACCTACAAAAGAGCAAGAAATGACTACCTAAGTAAAAGGAGAGAGGCAGAGAGAGATTATGAGAGGGACATCACCAGGAAGGCTAAAGAAAATCCCAAGCTTTTCCACAGCTTTATCAGAGGAAAACTGAAGGTAAAAGAACAGGTTTTAAGGCTAAAGAGAGCGGATGGAAGCATCACTGAGACGGACGAAGAGATCTGCAAAGAATTGAACAAGGAGTTTCAGTCAGTATTTACAGTAGAAAATACCCCACCCCCTCAGATTGGAGTGATAGAAGCTCAAGGGCCGGTATTAGAGAACATCAACCTTACAGCCACAGAGGTATGCAAAGCGCTGATGGATTTAGATGTTCATAAAGCTACAGGTCCTGATGACATATCCCCTCATGTGCTTAAAAAATGCGCAAACACAATATCAGTGGCACTAAGTATCATATTTAAGGAGTCACTGGAGTCGGGGGAGATTCCAGGATGCTGGAAACAAGCAAATGTGATACCTATCTTCAAAAAGGGAAGGAGGGATACGGCTCTGAACTATAGACCAGTTTCCTTGACCAGCATAGTTTGCAAAGTTATGGAGAAACTACTAAGGAAACATATCTCTCTTCACTTGGAATCCTTCAACTTTTTGTCAGTGAGGCAACATGGCTTCAGAGAAGGTAGATCAACAGTAACAAACTTATTAGAATTTTATGATGAGGTAAGCCAAATCTTACAGGAAAGAGAGGGCTGGGCAGATTGCATATTCCTAGACTTCCAGAAAGCGTTTGACACTGTTCCACATGGGAGACTTATTAGGAAGCTGCAATCAATGGCTAGAATAGGTGGAAATGTCTTGGAATGGATAAAAACTTACTTAGAAGGAAGGGAACAGAGGGTTAGAGTAAGACACTCAGTGTCTGAATGGAGAAGAGTTAGTAGTGGAGTTCCACAGGGTTCAGTTTTAGGGCCACTTTTGTTCCTTGTATATGTAAATGACCTACCAGAGTCTGTAAATTCATTCATGAATATGTTTGCAGATGATGAAAAGATTGTGAAGAAAGTAAAAAACGAGAACAATGGTAGAGAACTTCAGGAGGATCTAAATAATCTGCATGAGTGGTCAGAAAAGTGGCTAATGAAATTCAATGCCTCAAAATGTAAGGTAATGAGAATGGGTACAAGTGCAAGAAGGCCCAAGCTTGACTACTCGGTGGCTGGAGTACAACTTCAAGAGACAGAAAATGAGAGAGATCTAGGAGTAAACATACTGGCAGATTTGTCTCCAGAAATACATATAAATGGCGTAGTAAGGGCAGCATATGCATTCTTATCAAATGTAAGGGTAGCCTTCAGGCACATGGACAAGGAAATGTTCAGAAATATTTATGTAACCTATGTGAGGCCAAAACTCGAATATGCAGCCCCCTTTTGGAATCCGCACTTGAAAAAGCACATAGCTAAGCTTGAAAAAGTTCAAAGACATGCCACGAAGCTGGTGCCAGATATACGCAATCTCGGTTATGATGAGAGGCTGAGGGAATTAGACTTGCCATCACTCGAAGCTAGAAGAGTGAGGGGGGATATGGTGACAGTCTTTAAATTCCTTCATGGTTATGATAGAGTGGATAGGGATCGATATTTCGATATGGCTGGCTCTAGAACTAGAGGTCATAGTTTGAAGCTTCGTAAGAAAACTTCTTTGCAGGATGTAAGGAAATACTTTTTCAGTGTAAGAGTAGTTGATAATTGGAATTGGCTAAGCGAGGAGGTAGTTAATGCTATCTCAATCCATAGTTTTAAGGACAGGTACGATAAGTATCACTAAGTCTAAAATGGAACCGATCAGGAGACGGGAAGATACGAGCTTTGGGCTCTTTCCCGTAAACACAATTAGGTAATCACAATTAGGTAATCACATTTAATTCAAATCTCATTCTCATTTGGGACCAACAATAATCAAATAAGTACATTGCCATACATGAAAACATGAATAATTTTTACTTCGACTGGGACTTGAACCTAGAACACAAAATTACTATGCCAAGATGCTACCAACTACATCACAGAAGGTCTTAAAAGGGAAACAAACCTTAGAGCTATATATGCAATAATAGGAGTGAACGCATTCTATCTGAATGCCACTCTGTTCATATTACAGTTTCCCCCAACCTCACTTGTGGCTTAGTTTTCACATTTAATTCAAATCTCAATCTCATTTGGGACCAACAGTAATCAAATAAGCACATTGCCATTTGTGAGAACATGAATAATTTTTACCCCGACCGGGACTTGATCCTAGGACACATAATTACTGTGCCAAGGCACTACCAACTACACCACAGAAGGTCTTAAAAGGGAAACAAACCTTTAAGCTACATTTACAATACTAGGAATGAACGCATTCTATCTGAATGCCACTCTGTTCATATTACAGTTTCCCCCAACCTCACTCGTGGCTTCGTGTTCACATATAATTCAAACTCAATCTCATTTGGAACCAACGGTAATCGAAGAAGCACATTACCATATGTGAAAACATGAATAATTTTTACGACGGGGACTTGAACCTAGGACACATA